ATGGCGAGCTGGCGAGTTCGGTGGAAAGAAGCCGGCAACGACAAGAATCTCACCTTCTCTATCTCCAAGCACATGAAGCAGGGCCTCTCCGAGGACGAGGCGGTGGCGGCCGCGCTGGCGGAGGCCAAGGCGCACCGCGAGGAGCTGGTGCGCCAACGCAAGCTGAAGCCCCCGAAGCCCGTCACGGCCAAAGCCTCTGGGTCCAGAGTGAGAGGCATCCACTGCCAGGCAAACGGAAACTTTCAGGTGCAAATCGTGAATCCAAGCACCAAGACGAGAAAATGCGGCGGCGCCTTCAAGACGCTGGCGGAGGCCGAGACCAAGGCGCGGGAGATGGCCAAGAAGTTCGGGCTTCAAGCCGAGGGTGTGGTGGTGCCGGTGGAGCGGCTCTCGGAGCTCCCGCGCTTCGAGCCGCTCGGGCCGGAGAAGGGCGTGAGGTGGAGGGCCGGAGAGAAGGCCTGGCATGCGCAGTGCATTGTCAGAGGGCAGAACATGCACATGAGGTGCCGGCCAAAGGACTTCACAGAGAAGGAGGTGGAGAAGGCCTGGAAGCAGGCGGTGGCCTGGAAAAAACGGCAAAAGAAGATGAGGCGTTGAACGCCGAATGCCTGACAAGAATCGGGAACTAGCAGAAGCCCTCAAGCAAGCCGAAGCCCTCAACTTGGAGGTTCATGGTACTTGTTAACCAATTATAACTGTACTTAGAACCCACTTAAAAGCCCCTTAAGTGCCCCAATATGGTTATAAGCACAGTTAGAAGTACAGTTATACTTGGTTAGTAAGTACCATGAACCTCCAAGAACTGGGTCAGCTGGAATGCTGGTCATCGCTCGCAAAATGCTGAGCAAGACCCTTGCGCTGAAGCGAACGGATGCAAGGGGATTGGCAAGAAGGCACAAAACACACCCGCGCATCATGATAATGACTGATTCCAGGCGGTGTTTATGAGAGACTCGAGACTGGGTGATAATTACCCCCACAAGCGTGAACCCCACGTCGGCCCGCGCCGTGTCGCCTCACGCTCTCAAGCTTGCGGGTAGTGTTGTTCGGTTTCATGGAACAAGAAGCAGAGCCACCGATCCAAGAGCCCTGAGCTCGTAAACCCCATCAACCCTAAGCCCCGAAATGGCCCCGCAGATGCGCGCAGTCACTTCTTTTGCGGAGGCTTCAAAGATCCCGAAACCCATCCCCAGCACTGCATGAAGCTTGACGGGATGTAGGTTGTAGGGCCTACAGGTACATCTCCTAAACCCCAAACCCTAAACCCTAAGCCCAAAGCCTAAACCGTACATAATCCAAAACCCCTTCAACTCAGACTCTGAGCCCAATTTTTAAGGCTTTTAGGTAGGACCAGCTGCCGCAGCCGCCCACCCCCCCCCCCCCCCATGCATCGACGACTGTAGAAGGCCATGGGGGTGGGATGGGTTTAGGGCCTAGGGTTTGGGGTTTAGGGTTTAGGGTTTGGGGTTCAGGGTTTAGGGTTCAGGGTTCAGGGTTCAGGGTTTAGGGGCTTCCGGTTTCTGTCGGGGTGCGGTGTTTAGGGTCTATTGTCCAAAAGGGTGCAGGTGTTCTGGTCAGGAATTCTTAAACTTTGGGCCAAGCCTGAACCCTAAACTGTATATGTGGTGGCCCTAAACAACGTCCTGAACTAGCCCCAATTCCTAGGCATTGACATTCCGACAGCTCCCAAACCCTCGAGTCTCGAAGCCCCAAACCCTAGAACCCCCTTTTGTAAGCCCTAAATCCTAAACCCTAAACCCTAAACCCTAAACCCTAAACCCTGAACCCTGAACCCTGAACCCCAAATCCTAAACCGCAAATCCCCACAAGCAAACAACAAACAGGTTCCACGCACTTCGGTATAAGAACTCGAGAGCCCCAGAGTCGATTCCCGAATCCTAGGGTATAGGTTTTTGCCCTCAATTTTTATGGACTACGGCGCTCTCACCATTCAAACTGGTTTACGTAGGGTGTCGGGTTGAAGGATAAACAACTTCAACCCTAAACCCTAAACCCTAAACCCTAAACCCTAAACCCTAAACCCTAAACCCTAAACCCTAAACCCTAAACCCTAAACCCTAAACCCTAAACCCTAACCCTAAACCCTAAACCCTAAACCCTAAAACCTAAACCCTAAAGCCCTCAATACTACAACCCTAAACCCTAAACCCTAAACCCTAAACCCTAAACCCTAAACCCCAAACCCTAAGTGGACAGGGCCCTGGGTGGTCCTCACAAGACCCTCCGGGGCCGATACCCCGTCCGGTTTCCTCTCAAGGAAGCCACCCTTGTTGCGTTTAGGGTTTGGGGTTTGGGGTTTAGGGTTTAGGGTTTTTCGGGCGTTTAGGGTTGGGGGTCGAACTTTTTCACCTATGGCAGTTGGGCCGGCGGGGTGGGATCCTAGAGTTCCGGAATTGGGGGATTTCTGCACGGGCATCTGCCGATGTACGACCTAACCCTTAAAGCCATAACCCTAGACATCCTAAAAGCCCTATACATCCTACAAGCCCTACAAACCCCCATAGCCCCTAATTGCAAACCCCGTAAGCCCCAGAAAGCCCCCACAAGCCCTATAGACCCCACAGAATTCTTCACCCTAAACCCAAAACCCAAAAGCCTAAACCCTAAACCCTAAACCCTGCAAACCCTCAACCCTGTACACCCTACAAATGTCAAGCTCTGACTTTTGGCTCTCCGCAGGCGTCCGATGCCCCGGGCCGGAGCGCTGAGGCCGACTCTGGGAGGGTTCGGGGTTTGGGGTTTAGGGTTCGGGGTTTGGGGTTTAGGGTTTAGGGTTTGGGGTTTAGGGTTTGGGGTTTAGGATTTGGGGGTTTAGGGTTTGGGGGTTTAGGGTTTAGGGGTTTTAGAGTTTTCTGTTTTGTGTTTAGCGGTTTAGGGTTTAGGGTTTGGGGTGTAGGGTTAGGGTTCAGGCCCAGGGAAAGTTTCGAGGAGTTTGGAGGAAAGTTTTGAATCAAAGTTTCCTCTTTCTGGGGGTTTCTGAATGATTTCAACTTACAGGGGCTTGAGGGTTTAGGGTTGTGGGTGTAGGGTTTGGGGTTAAGGCAGTGGGGTTTAGGGTTTGGGGTTTAGGGTTTGGGGTTTTGGGTTTGGGGCTTGGGGTTTAGCATTTTTAGGGTCTAGAAAGTTTGGGTTTAGGGTTCGGGGTTTTGGGGTTGGGGTTGAGCGCTTAGCGTTTGGGGTTGTCGGTTCAGGGTTTGGGGTTTAGGGCTGACAGGTTAGGATGTTCCCCCTCATAAAAACACCCTTAACAGGGATTGCAGTACCCCCTAGTATAATCCCTATTAAAGAGGTTTAGGGTTTAGGGTTTAGGGTTTAGGGTTTAGGGTTTAGGGTTTAGGGTTTAGGGTTAAGGGTTTAGGGTTTAGGGTTTAGGGTCCGGAGCCGCTCCAGGTGATCCGAGCCCAGTACTTCCCGGTTCCAGGTTTTTGGAGATGGCGGAAGCAGCGATGGCAGAATGCGAGGTTTTTCGGTTTCCGGCGCAGCGCTTCAGGCGACTATTAGCACGTACTTGGAGGTTCATGGTACTTATTAACCAAGAATAACTGTACTTATAACTTATAACTGTACTTATAACCCTATTAGCGCACTTAAGGGGCTTATAAGTGGGTTATAAGTACAAATCTAGTTGGTTAATAAGTACCATGAACCTCCAAGTAGGGTTTGTAGGCCCCCGCTCCAGTGCTGCCAACTCTGAAGCCTGAACCCTAACCCCTAAACCCCCTATATAGAACGTAAACTCCGAAACCTGAAGAGGTCCACCCTAAAATGCCCCCAAACCTCTTATGAACCCCCCCCCCCAAAATGCCTAAACCCTAAGCCCTAGAGCTCTGCAACATGAAAATGCTAAGACCGCACGTCCCTAGAACCAGGCTGTCAGGGCTTAGGGTCTGGGGTTTACGCTAGTGATAGGGTTTAGAGTTTAGGGTTTAGGGTTTAGGGTTTAGGGTTTAGGCTCTGTGCCGACAAGGAGTCGGCGTTTCCTGTTTTCTGTCATTCCTGATTCCTGAAGGTTGGATGATGAAAGTGCAGCATCTCCCTTCATTGAGCCTCTTGCTTGGACGGGCTTAGGGTTTAGGGTTTAGGGTTTAGTGTTTAGGGTTTAGGGTTTCGGGCTTTAACTCTTTGTCGTGTCCCTGCAACACTTTAGCCCGCTAAACCAAAGCCCTGCAGCACTGAAAATCACCTTCGGTGTTTCGCCTTGCTAGGTGGACAGAACCGACGGCAGTAGCTGAAAGAGATGTACAGTGTGATGAGGCCCGCACTGACAACGGGGTCTTTCTAGTCTCCTTCAACCAAAACTGTGCAGGGGTTCAGGGCCTTGGGGTTTGAATCCGCCTCTCCCCTACTATTCCTAAAGCTAGTTGACTATTCACGGTTTTTGGGCACTTTAGCACGCTTTAGGGTTTAGGGTTCAGGGTTCAGGGTGATCCATGCTCCCTGAGCTATAAGATCACGGGAGCTCATGGGAACCCTGCTTTGAAAGGAAGCCCCAAAAATTGCCCGTAAACCTGGAACCCTAAACCCTGCTTCTGGAGGATTTTAGTTTGGCAAGGGGGTCAAAGTACGATTCTGCATGGCTCCCCCGCAAAGGCCTAGCATCCCAAATGCTTGGGATACCCCTAAACCCTAAACCCTAAACCCTAAACCCTTGTGCAAAATCACCCTAAATCCAAGAACCCTGATCGGCACACTTTCCAGAGCGTAAGGGTGCAAACAGACCATCCCCGTTGACTTGGTTCGGTTTAGGGTTTAGGGTTTAGGGTTTAGGGTTTAGGGTTTAGGGTTTAGGGTTTAGGGTTTAGGGTTTAGGGTTTAGGGTTTAGGGTTTAGGGTTTAGGGTTTAGGGTTTAGGTTCAGGGATTTAGGCAGGGTTCAGGGTTTAGGGTTTGGGGTTTAGCATTCAGGAATTAGGCAGGGTTCGGGGCTTAGGGTTTAGGGTTTAAGTCGCGGTGCTTAGCGATGTGCTGCTGGTTCCGAGGGCATGCCGATGCCACTGGGCATCTGGTTGAGCAAAGAGTAATACCTAACTATAAACCCTAAACCCTAAACCCTCAACCTTAAACCCTAAACCCTGACCAGGAGTCCTATGTTTCGCTTTGCCGTGTTTCATGGTTTGCCACGGACTTGGTCCCTCACCCGGGCCTCTACTTCACGTAGCTTAACTGCCCCCAACCCGAAAATGCGGCCAAGATCTGGCTCTTCTTGTCGGTCGAGGTGTGGTTAAGGCAACGCCTAGAACCGCTGCAAATCCTAAACCTCAAACCCTAAACCTCTAACCTTTCAAAACCTGAAACAAAACCCTTAAAACCCGATAACAACTCGCAAACAAGCGCTACACGCAGGCACACCTACTTAGAGAAACCCAAAACCCTAAACACTAAACCCTAAACCCTGAGCCCCAAACACTAAACCCTAAACCCTATATAAACCTTAAACCCTAAACCCTAAACCCTAAACCCTACACCCTAAACCCTAAACCCTAAACCCCTCGAAAAGCCCTAAAAACCTCAACGCCCTTGCGACCGTAAGCCAGGCAGACTCTGAGCCGGAGGCCATCTCGCCGGCCCACTTCCAGG